GAGTAAATCAGTTTATTCAAGTTCTATAGGCTCAGCCCGGTTTGAGATTATAGACCTTGAATGAACTCATCTACTCCAAGTTCGTAGATAATTTCTGAAGAAATTAAAAAGCGAAAATTTCTAAATTTGAGTATCCACCAGAAAACACTCGGGGACTGCTGAGGAACCCACTGACGAGCCAAACCCTTCGCAGCTGCGCCATGTACCGACAGAATATCGGCGAAACACTCGTGTATAGGCTTTTGGCTAGTACCTGTGCTATTAGTATGGAATTCCCTTTCCGTAGAGTATACTACACTCTGTAAAAAAGGACAACTTATGTAGCTTGAATCTTTCTTATTGATCTTTGATGTTCTTATAAATTTAAATATATCTCATAGAGGAAATGCACAAAAATATTCATCCTTTTATTCGGTTGGTAGAAAAGTGCGCCTTCTTCCAATTTTATGCCTAAAGGAATGGTATAATTCGGTTTTAAACCTTTCCTAATGCCCGAATAATTTTAAACCAGACCTGCGTCTACACTTGCATTCAGGGTTTCTAAACTACAAGTTTTACATTTTCGAGGTCCGGAAAGCTGTCCATTTCTCTACAGTATTAATAGAAGACAATATGGAGTAAAGCAGTATATTTGAGCCATTCTGCAAACTTTACAAGTAACATTAGTAAATGCAGAGACGTGAGGTTTTATGATCGGGCGTTTCACGGTCTTAAAAATTTCATAAATAAAAACTTTTTCAAACGAAATTATACCCAAGCTTCAAACAAAAAATTGAAGTAGACGTAACTTCCTACCAAATGAGTAAAGGGATAAATATTTTTATGCATGTTTTCCATGAGGTATATTTAAATTTATAAGGACATCGAAATTCTAGGAGAATAATTTATGTTTCCTGTGTGGTCACTTTTTCAGAATGCAGTTTTGTCAGCAACCGAAAAGAAAGTTCGTTCAAAAGCTGGCATCTTGAAGCAACCCGTATCTGCTGTTGTCTCTGATGATGGGTTCGAGCAGGAACCCGAAACGTCAGGCTTATAAATTTCTTGTTC